AGACCTCGCCATCCCTGGGGGCTGCGATCTGTGAAACTGTCGCCACTTTCGAAGGCTGCTGGGGTGGCCAGCGGAGTGACGCCCCACGGGGACTTAGATTAGACCTCGCCATCTCTGGGGGGCTGCGATCTGCGAAACTGTCGCCACTTTCGAGGGCTGCTGGGGTGGCCAGCGGGGTGACGCCCTACGGGGATTCAGATTCGACCTCGCCATCCCTGGGGGGCTGCGATCTGCGAAACTATCGCCACGTTCGAGGCCTGCTGGGGGGGCCAGCGGAGTGACGCCCTACGGGGATTCAGATTCGACCTCGCCATCCCTGGGGGGCTGCGATCTGTGAAACTGTCGCCACTTTCGAGGCTGCTGGGGGGCCCAGCGGAGTGACGCCCTACGGGGATTCAGATTAGACCTCGCCATCCCTGGGGGGCTGCGATCTGTGAAACTGTCGCCACTTTCGAGGGCTGCTGGGGGGCCCAGCGGAGTGACGCCCTACGGGGATTCAGATTAGACCTCGCCATCCCTGGGGGGCTGCGATCTGTGAAACTGTCGCCACTTTCGAGGCTGCTGGGGGGCCCAGCGGAGTGACGCCCTACGGGGATTCAGATTCGACCTCGCCATCCCTGGGGGGCTGCGATCTGTGAAACTGTCGCCACTTTCGAGGGCTGCTGGGGGGCCCAGCGGAGTGACGCCCTACGGGGATTCAGATTAGACCTCGCCATCCCTGGGTGGCTGCGATCTGTGAAACTGTCGCCACTTTCGAAGGCTGCGTGGGGGGCCCAGCGGAGTGACGCCCACGGGGATTAGATTAGACCTCGCCATCCCTGGGGGGCTGCGATCTGTGAAACTGTCGCCACTTTCGAAGGCTGCTTGGGGGGCCAGCGGAGTGACGTCCTACGGGGACTCAGATTAGACCTCGCCAGCGCTGGGGGGCTACGATCTGTGAAACTGTCGCCACTTTCGAGGGCTGCTGTGGGGCCCACGAAACTGTCGCCACTTTCGAGACCTGCTGCGGGGTCCAGCATAGTGACGTCCTACGCGGACGCAGATTGGACCCGTCATTCTACTTCGATTATCCCGCATCTGCGATCGACTGTATGTGTGCGAGGAACTAGACATGGAGTGGTCTGGCACTGACTGACGTCAAATCGTTGTGTGCCAGTGTCTCCTGGGGTGTTGCCTGATGTGGATGCAGCTCGTCGGCGCTGCGACTCGAGCTGGCGGTCGTCCTTCGGGCCCGCAGAAACATCTGCTGAGCTCGATGAGCTAGGGGAACTACAGGAAAGAAGTGCAGGAAACGGAGGCCGGTCATGCACTCGCCGATGCCTCGTTGCTCTGTCATCGTCTTTGCTGTTGCATGATCCTTATCTGGCCTGCCGGCGCCGCGGCTCGAGCTGGCGGTCGCCCTTCGGGCCCGCGGGAACATCTTCTGAGACAAGTGGACGCCGCCGCCTTACTTGCAGGCAGCGCATTGCATTCGCGGACAGCAGCATGGCAGACCGCAGTGAGATCCTCAGTCGCGTGGTGTTGCCAAGCCTGGTGGAGACGCGCGTGATCGACCTGAAGTCCCAATCGCGCGTGCACTGTACCTGCGTGGCGTTCAGGCACGCGCGTGATGCTGCTCGCTCCGCGTTCAACCAGTACGTCGCCAGTGCAACTTTGGACGATGGACAACCGATTGATGATGCGCGACCCCGGCCTTGAGTTTCTTTCCCGCGGGCCGCCCGCAGACCTGGCGGCGCGCCTGCGAGCGTTCAGCTCCCGCGCTGAAGTGTGCGGGAAGGAGGCGGAGAAGCTAGCGGGCGAGCTACGCCTCGCTCGTTCCTTGCATTCCAAACAAGTTTTATCATGTGGAATTCTGCGACGACATGGCGCAGGCAGCGCTGCGGGTTTAGCTCGCGCTTGAAAAACGCGGCAGTCTTCTGTCTCCTCCCGCCACTTTCATCGTCGTCTTATTCCCCGCCTCACCTTCTCCATGCACGCTGCTGCTTCCGCGATGGCCTTTCGCCCCCCCCGCCCTCCATTCCATCCCTCTCCTACCCCTCGTTCCCGTGCCCGTTCTTCTTCGATCCTGGGGCCTCAAGCCTCGTTCTTTCGATCGTCGTCCTGTGAATCGTGCAGCGCATGCGCATCCCATGTAGCTTGCACAGCAAATCGCCGCGTCTACACTGTCGTTGTTCCTGCTAATGTTGGCATACTCCTCTTGCCATTTGATGCACGTGGGTTGGGTGCGTCGCAGAGTAATTTTAATGCGTCCCCGGCCGCCCCCCTGGGCCGCGCACGTGCCGCTGGCCACGATTTGCGCGCCCCCCTCTTGGGCGCCCCCCGAGCCGGACCGAGAAATCCGCGCGGACCTCCGAGTTCTTTACGTTTATGTCACTCTTCGGGCCCCTAAAAGAGAGGGGTGATGACCCCGAAAGGCCCTCGAACCTGACGTTGCCTCTCACCCCCCCGGGGGCCCCAAGAGGGGGGGGCCCGGGCCCCGCCCGGCCGCCCGCCGAGGGGC